AATCTCTACCAGGGGCAGACTGCCAGTGCCTGAGCCCCCGTCCAGCCCTAACCAGTCAAACCTCCCACTAATTGCTTTAGGGAAGAGGCAAGGCAGAGGGCTCCTAATGGGGTTTTAAGGATAGAGACAATAGCCCCACTCCAGCTGTTGCCCGGGGCAACTGCACAAAGGGCTTTAGCGCAGGCTGAGATTGGATTACCCGCCTGTTTATTCATCCACACACATTTATCCTGAACCACCCAGGGTGAAGGGGGGATTTAGCAGCTGTGTCACAGCCCATGCATGCAATGAAGAATTTATGTGGGAAACATGCAGGCAGATGACAGGAATTCATCTCTGTCAGTTCCCACTTCCTCTATGACCTTGTCTTTCAAAGCATCACCTGAGCTAATCTGCTCGGGATCCAGGAGACAGACAGAGAGGCTAATTCTTTGAGAAACTGAGTCATACGTAGATTTAGTTTCCAGGGCAGAAATTTAAGGCAGAGTTGGCAGCATACCATCTTCCCCAAGGGATGCCCTCCTTAGGAACAGGCAATCCCGGCACTGCCCCACATAAGACAGTGATGCTCCAATCTCTCTTCCTGTGCTTGATTGGGCTTCCCTAACTTCAGGTCAAGATGCCAGGACCTTTACAGGTCTGCAAGGCCTTGGTTTACATTTTCCTAGGTTACCTTCTTGCACTAGCATAGCAAGGCACCCGCCACTGCTTGACATCAACTAGCAACCAGTCTCCCGGCCCACCTTGTCTTCTCACTCTAGAAGTTCCAGAAGTCAAGGGAGGAAGGAAAGAGGGGGATGTCCACATGGAGTGTGTGCAGGCAGGAGGCTGATACAAGCTGGGAGGTAGCAGGCGGGCCCTATCGTGGCCTCTCAGCCATGGGTCTGGGTTAGCTGGGAGGAATCAGTATGGGATGGGAGCTCTCAGGCCAGACAGTACCATGGAGTTGTAGAAAGCATACCCTGGTCAGACTGAGATGCACTCTGAGAGTCCCAAGGAGAATGTGGGTACTCAGCAATCCACCCTGGATAGAAGGAAGAGATCAAGTTGAGGACAGTGTGCCCTGTGTCATGGCCAGAGGGTCTATGCAGCTTTGTCCAATGCTCCTCTTAATAGCAATACCCCAATTGGAGAGCAATATCCCAAAAGGACTCCATAGAGGTGAAGGAGCCGTGCGGGACCCACCAGAATGGGGCTCAGAGGTCTCATTTGAGCAACCTGCAACTAAATAGTAATGTGGGGACATCTCACCTCCAGCCATTCGGCCAGGGCCTCTTGAGCTAACAGGTGGCCAAGGACTGGGTAAGTATGTGTGGTCCTTCTTCCTGAGAACTGTTCTAGGGTAAAACACAGAAGGACCCAGGGTCCTGAGGCTGTCATTCAGCTGAACTTTGTCCCACTTATATGGGCCTCACTGTGTTGCCGCAGTACAATACTGAGCAAGTGACCTAACCTGGCACCTGGTTTCTGCATATGTAACGTGGGGGTGATGGTAAGACCACTGTCAAGGCCGGGAGGAGAAACGAAATCTCTCATGCAAGGCCACCTCACCATTCTTGTCGCCCAATTAGGATAGACAGACACCCAAGAACAACTACACAGTACCACGCTAGAATCTGCAGCCTTGGTGTTCTCTCCAGCAGACCCATCAGGAGGCAAGTTCTGAAGGCAGGAACCCAGAAGTCCGTAATGTGAGGTGGGCGAAAGAAGCAAGCTGTGAGGAAACCAGGAGCCTGAGCCTAAGGAGCAAAGCAGCGCTCATTCACCCACAGCCTAAGGAGCAAAGCAGCGTTCATTCACCCACAGCCCCTGTGCTACAGCAAGGGACCAACCACGGCTGCCTCACGAGGTCTCCTGGGTTATGACACACTCCAAATGAAGAACTCCCTTTTGGAAATACTACAAGAGAAACAAGCACAGCTGTGGACTACACAGGGCCCAAGAGCCAGAGGACATCTGCTCCAGGGTCCGGTAAGGTCAGCTTCTGTGTCTATCCGACCTCACTGTGAACTGAGGTCCGCCCCCAGCAGGCCTGAGCCGGAGCACTGCAGGCCAGATACAACGAAGATAGTGATGACAACAGTTTCTGTGAAGCATCCCCACTTCCTCAGATTTAGTACACAGCAGACACTCAGCATACGTGAAGTAATTGTGTTTCCAAACCAGCTCTGGACCAGCAAGCCTTTGTTAAACCTTATCACCTCAGACAGCCTTAGGTGTACCACATAAGCAAAGACCCATTTTCTTTTCTTTTTTCTTTTTTTTTCGAGACAGGGTTTCTCTGTGGCTTTGGAGGCTGTCCTGGAACCCACTCTGTTGACCAGGCTGGCCTCGAACTCACAGAGATCCGCCTGCCTCTGCCTCCCGAGTGCTGGGATTAAAGGCGTGCGCCACCAACACCCGGCGCAAAGACCCATTTTCAAGTCTACCTGCTCCACCAAGAACATCACCCAGCATACACCACTAAAATGGGGGCAGAATTCCTCTCTTGAGGGTGGGTTAGTCTTTGAGGTGCCTAGGCACACAGACAGGAAGGGTTAGGCCATGCACAACACACTGAGCCCTGGGTGGTTACTCATGGAACTCAAACCAAGAGGCAGCTAGGCATTGTAACAGTGCCCCAGACCTTAGCACAGTGACTCCATGATTAAAGTGCTATAAAATACAACATGTAGGACTGGAGAGATGGTTCAGATGTAAAGCTCTCTCAGAGGTACTGAGTTCAATGCCCAGCAACCACATTGTAGGTCACAACCATCTATAATGAGATCTGGGTGCCCTCTTCTGGAATGCAGGAATACATGCAGACAGAACACTGTATACATAATAAATAAACAAATCTTTAAAGAAAAAAACAAAAAAAATACAACATGTAGACAGCACCACCTGCCAAAAAGAAAACAAAGACCTTATCCATCCAAGTTCATAGTTATGGGAAAGTCTCTAAACAACATATGAACCTTGGTTTTTGGCTTCTGGCTAACTGTTCTTGCTAACTGAAATATGTCAAGCCGCCAAATGGTGTTTATGCTTAAAAGCTACCCTGAGAAAGGCTTAGAGCTACACTGGAGTCCCAAACACCCGGTGTAGTTACTGACTAGCTAATAAAGACTTTCTATTGACTTAACCCATGTCTGATCAGTCTTCTCTGGTGCCTACCCCCACAACAATTATAGGTACCCTTCTATGTCCCTGGGAAGTTCTGGGAAGCCAGCATGACCCACAAGACACATGAGCCCTCAGATAACCTCAGCACCAAGCCCCTGAATAGCAACAGCTCCAGCCAAGGGGAGCAGATGAGCTGTCACCATAATAGTCAGCTTGTATGGGGATTTGAGGTACACTAAGTGCCAGCATAGTTTTGGGGTGGTTTTCTGGATAATCTGGTAATTGATGTGTATCCCAGGCTGGCCTCACACTCACAGAAATCCACCTGCCTCTACCTCCCAGGTACTGGGATAAAGTCAAATGCAATCACAGCTGGTCTATAGTCTATCTGAGGGAAGGTTTTTTTTTAAATAGTTTTGTGTGTGTGTGTGTGTGTGTGTGTGTGTGTATGTGTGTTACATGTTTTCAGTGCCCACAAAGTAGCTGAGTCCTGAAGGAGATGTTAGAGCCCCTTGAGCTGAAGTTACAGGCGGGAATCAAACTTGGGTCCCCTGGAAGAGCAGAAAGAACTCTTTTTTGTTTTGTTTTGTTTTGTTTGTTTTGTTTTTCGAGACAGTGTTTCTCTGTATTATTTTGGAGACTGTCCTGGAACTCGCTCTGTAGACCAGGCTGGCCTCGAACTCACAGAGATCCTCCTGCCTCTGCCTCCCGAGTGCTGGGATTAAAGGCGTGCGACACCAACACCCGGCCAGAAAGAACTCTTTAACAGCTAAGCCATCTCTCCAGCCCTATTCTGGTTTGTTTTGTTTTGAGATATGGTCTTATGCTAGCTCACACTAGCTTCAAACTCACTAAATAAACACAAATAACCCGGAACTTCTGGTTCTCCTTCTTCTACCCCCTAAATGCTAGGATTACAGGGACAGACTACCATGCCTGATGAATTCAGAACTCCCCGCTCCAGAGACACACTTCTAGATGTGTCTAGGAGAGCATTTCCAGAGAAAACTGTAGAATAAAGAACTATCCTGAGCCGGGCGTTGGTGGCGCACGCCTTTAATCCCAGCACTTGGGAGGCAGAGGCAGGCGGATCTCTGTGAGTTCGAGACCAGCCTGGTCTACAAGAGCGAGTTCCAGGACAGCCTCCAAAGCCACAGAGAAACCCTGTCTCGTAAAAAAAAATAAAAAAATAAAAAAATAATAAAAAAATAAGACCCTCTCCCAGAAGTTCCACTAGATTTTAATAGGATTGCATCATTAACTTTCCTAGAACCACATTTTCTCCTGGGTAGAAATAGTCTATTACCTTGGTGGTAAAGCAGAAACCTAGAGAGGGACAGCAAGCTGAACCCCTTAACCATCCTACAGACATAACCTGTTGGGTCTAGCCTCTTCCAGGGACAGGGGAGAGACTGGAACAAAGGCCTGTAAGCAAGAAGTGCAGCTATCCAGCGGTCACTATCCTGTAGACCTCTCCATTGCTGGTAGCCTCCATGGCTTCCTGGGATGCCCAAGTGGGGTGAGTCAGAATTGGCTGAGCCCAGGACCAGCAGCTCATGCCTCTTGGAGCTGTAGCCAAGTGGTACTGAAGGGCTGGGCTGCTGTACCCTAGGATTCTTGAGGGACTCCACTAAACCTTTCCTCCACCCTGCCAGCACGGTATCTGTGTTACCTGTCTCTCACCACTTTCCTCTCCACATAACATAGCAGGTTTTGCCTTCAGGGGACCCAGGAGATGTATCCTTACAAGTGTACACATAGCTTGCTGCATGGATACAATGTCACATACCCACACCCACATGAACGCTGTGTGCGCACACTCTTATGTGCAGGGGAGAAATGGCATAAGCCTAGTGCTCCCTAGTGCTCTGCTGCATCAGGGCCTGGCCTACCTGATCCTCCTCCTTTTCCGCTGGGGGTATCTATTCTCGTCAGGGTAAGCATAGCAACCCTCATCTGAGCAGGATCCTGGCTCCTCGCAGACTCCATTGCTCACAAAGGCCCACCTCCAGAGTCTCAGACGGATCATTGGTGCTTACTGTGGTGCTGTTGGTAACACAGCAGCCCTACCTACAGGAAGCACTCAAGGTTGCTGCTAATGGACTATAACAACAGTGCCTGGTGATGCAAGGTAGAGCTGGCCACTTGACTGTGTCCATGATACTGTTTCCTGCTCCCTTACCCAATCCTCTGCCTGCAGGAACATTCTCCCTGGAAAAGATTTTAGTAAATACTACAGGGTAGGACAAGCGAGGGGGCTCCATCCTAAAGCTCCTACCACTGTGGCTGCCTGATTTTCACCCTGAGCTGCCTGGAGCCTGAGCTACCACACAACAAAGGATGGGTAGGAAGGTCACAGGAGAGACAAGAGGAAGCTCTAGAGGAGCTGCCTTATCTACGAGAACAACTCCCACATGGACCTTTATCCATACAGCCTGGGGAGCTTATGGGTTTAACTTTGGGAATCCTTGCCATTCTAATATAGTAATCTTTGAGAGTTCAACCTAAGGGATTTTGAGGGCTCAGGTGGGGATCTCTGAAGGCCCAGCCTAGGGACTGTCTAATGGTATTGTTTAATAACAACAGTAGCTGAGAGCTTTACATTCTGATCTTCAGGCAGCACACAGGGGGGGGGACTGGGCCTGGGGTGGGCTTTTAAAACCTCAAGGCCCACATTGACATACCACCTCCAACAAGGCCACACCTCCTAATCCTTCCCAAACAATTCCACTAGATAGGACCAAGCATTCAAATACATAAATACATGATGGAGATGACTCTCATAGGAGAGCCATTCTCATTCAAACCACAAGGCAAGTGTGTGTGTGTGTGTTTACTACAGTGCAGTGGGGGGCAGTCAGAGGGTAACTTTCAGGATTTGCTGCCCCTTCGTGGGTCCCAGGTATAGAACCTTTACCAACTTAACCATTGCTTGATGACCCATCTTTTCCACCTTTTATTTTGAGATAGGGTATTACCAAGGGTATTACCAAGTTGCTTAGCCTGGTCTTAAGCTCACTCTATAGTCCAGCGATCCTCCTGTCTCAGTAACTGAATTTCTAACCTCCCTCCACTCCCAATACAACCCACTGGACTTCAATGAGCCCCTTTTGTTTAACCTTATAGTCAGCTAAAACTATTGAGTTGTGGTTATTGGTTGTGTAGTTCCTTTCTCCAAGTGCCTATAGCCTCCTTGGTTTGACACACTCACCTCTCTTTCCAGGCTTTCGGTCCTGCCTGAGTATTTTAGGCTGGTCTAATATACTTACTTGATCTTCAGCCGCCGCCTCCTCCTCCTCCTCCTCCTCCTCCTCCTCCTCCTCCTCCTCCTCCTCACCAGATCCCTCACAACCCTGGGAAAGCACTGCTTTCCTCAGTGTCCTGTGCTCAGTCCTGATTAGAACATGTTTTAGAGACTCCTGATGATTTTTTTCCTATTCCTGTAATCCTCTTGGATAGGAGGACTCTGGAACCTCAAATTGGGTTTGTCTTTTGTTGTTTTAAGCTTTTTTTTTTAATTTATTCTATGCATATGAGCGCCGAGCGTTTTGCCTTCACATATATATCCTTGCAACTGGTGTGTGTGTGTTGCCCCCAAGCTGGCTTCAAACTTGTAATCCTCCTCAGCCTCCCAGGAGCTGAGACTGCAGTGTGAGACGCCACAGTCAGCTCCCTTTTACTTGAACTAACAAATGACCGCAACTACCCAATGATTTCCCGCCTTCTTTGTTCCTGTGCCAACAGAGTGAGGATCCCTTGCATCGGAGGTTGAGTCATCTATCAAAACCCATGCAGAGAAATGTACTAGTCTAGTCGGGGTCCAACAAGGAAGACAGATGGACATCAGGTGACTGCAGAGGTTGTTCCACAGAAGTCACCACGGGAGCATGCCTCTAATTCCACCACACCCACACCCACGCCATGTATGATCCAGAAAGGAAGCCCTGCAGTTTGATCCCATTCACCCACAGGACCCCTGGCCCACAGCGACCCAATACACACCATGAATACTTGGCTACAGGTCAGTCACATCTGAGGCCCATTAAAAAACAAACCAAAAAAATGGGACTGAAGAGATGGCTCAGAGATTATGAGTATTGACTGCTCTTCCAGAGGACTCCAGCTCACTCCCAGTACCTGCATGGTGGCTTACAACTGTCTATAACTCCAGTTCCAAGGTATCTGGCGCCCTCTTTTGGTCTCTCTGGGCATTGTATGCATATGGCACACAGATACATCTAGGCAAATATATATATACATATAAAATTAAATCTCGAAAAAATACAAAGCAACCTGTTAGAAATCAGGGACCCCGGGGGCTGGAGAGATGGCTCAGAGGTTAAGAGCACTGACTGCTCTTCCAGAGGTCCTGAGTTCAATTCCCAGCAACAATATGGTGGCTCACAACCATCTATAATGAGATCTGGTGCCCTCTTCTGGCATGCAGACATACATGGAGGCAAGATGTTGCATTCATAATAAATAAATAAATATTAAAAAAAAGAAAGAAAAAAGAAATCAGGGACCCTGGAAATCCACTGAGACTCCGGAGTTCAGGAGTTCTCAAGACCCTGACACCTGGTCCTCCAGCCCCTTGCATCTGGGATTCAGTCCCTTAAAATGTTCCTTGAGATACCAGCTAAAGTAGGCTTAGGTGGAGGGGATGTTTGCTGTGGAAATAGAGGTCTCAGCCAATATTGGCTTCACAGTGGCAGGAGGACCTATCTGCAGAAATCACACTCTGATGAACCAACCTTCACCAAGGTACTGGGAAGATGTGTGGGAGGTGGGGGTGGCATGTTAGCTCAGAAAGACAGGTAATCCACTGAGATGAAGGCCACAGAGACTGCCAGGGGAATCCCTACCGCTCAGGAGCTGGAAATGGGACCATGGATACATGCCCGGAGATGGACTCACCCCTGCCCACCAGCTGTTCTGGGAATGGAGAAACCTGTTTATCTACCTCATAACCCGTTACCATGGCAACTTTCCCAACCATACTGGGGCTGGTGTTGGGGAGGCAGACACACACTCGTGCACGATTGCACACACACACACACACCCCAAATCTTTTTAAAACACTACAACAAAAAAATCTGGCTACTATAAACAAAAGAGTCTCAGAAGTAGTAGCAATCTGTGACAGGGTTCCCTTTTCTGAATTTTATATTATTGTTGTTGTTATTTTTATTTATGTGTGTATGATCCTGTGAGAGACAGAAAACAGGAACAAGTAGCAACCAGCTAGTAGCAAGTTTGAGGCTGATCCAGGCTATCTGAGACCTAAAGAAAACAAACAAAAAACTCCCTCTGGGTGAGTATCCACAACCCAGTCTTTAAAGGACTGTGGACCAAGTGACAAAGGAAAAGACAGGCCTGAGGTCACTGTGCAGTGAGCAAACCCATTGATGGTTCTAGAGGAGTGTGTGTCCTGGGGAGCCCACCACACCTGTCCAGCTCAAAATGTTTCCAGTTTCTCAGACAGAACCATGTACTTTTAAGTAAGGAGCCCCCTTCCTCCTCATGCCCTAGGTACCTACAAAAATGTAGATTCTGGACATGGCTGGTAAAATAGATGTACCAAGTTTGCCCTTTTACAACCGACTTATGTAACTTAAATTTGAAAGTAGAGATGAGGGGGTCTCAAATGGACGAGTGGACCTCTAGATAAGTAGAACAGACCTTTGCAGAGGTAGGATCAGACCATGATGGGTGGGGTCATGAGGCCATGGTGGTCCTGGCAGTTCACAACTTCTAGCTTGGCAACTACTCTTTAATCAAGATAAAGGTTCCAGGGATTTGGTTTGCTGTCTTTGAGTTCATCAGCTTCTAGAAACTACATGCCATGAGCTCCCCCAAAACTGAAACCTGTATAAAACCCTGGAGGGAATAGAAGGTGTTCCTGGAATTCTGCAGACCACAGTGGCCACCTGTTCCCTCATAGCTTCTGAGTCAGAGTTGGGTCAAAGCAACCACCATGAGGGGCACGCTGGTCACAATGTGACTGTTAAGCACACTGTAGAATGAAAATCAGGAAGCCCAAGCAGGGCAGGAGAAGATAGCAGGGTAGGGCTGAGGACAAGGCCACAGCAGGGAAAGATGTCCCAGGAATAGGTGAGGCCACACTGCTCCCTGTTCTTAAAGAACTGGCCTTCCAGTATCCACCTGAGGCTGCCAAGGCCAGGAGGTGGCCCTGACCAAACTCAGGCACATCCATGGGAAGCAAGCAGGCCTCAGCAGCCAGGCTGGGTGGGAGGCTTGGGAAAGACAGAGGGTTGGCGGCCTTCCTTGGGGAGACATCAACTGTTCTCATCAGTGTGTCCTTCACTCATGTGCTAATCTCTACCAGCGGAGGGGACCAAGGAACAGAAAGAGAAGCAGATGAGTCATTATCAAAGCAGATAATAAAGGTTCATCCTAACAAAGGATGCTTATTCTATCCCAGGGATGTTTCAGAACCTTAGAGAAAACTGCATGGAGTCCCCACCTGCTGTGAGCAGCCTTGTGAGATAGGAGCTGGGGGCAGCCACCTAGTGCCCAATACTAGACAACAACAGTGGAGGGGGAGCAGGAGACAGGATGTAGGAGGCACAGGGTCAGGTGCCCCTCTGTCCACGGGAGACACAGCCCTGAACACGGTCTTGGACACTGGTCCTCCTCATTGCTCTTCTTGTTGCAAGATGGGACTATATCATCGCTTCAAGACCCAGCAGGCCAGGCTGCTCAGGACATGGTGTCCATCCTGACCCTCCCAACCAATCCACCCACCAGTGAGAATCCCAAGTGACTTCCATCAATGTCACTGGCTCAGCCTAACTCCAGATCCACACAGTATGAGAAGCTTGGTGCCACCAAGATGGTTTGTGCATCATTAGCTAGCAACTGGACCACTTCTCAGCTGACCCTCCTCCAGCTTCTCCCTGAACCACTGTTCTGTTCTCTCTCATTCCCTCCCTCTCTTCTCTCTCATCCATTTACTCCCATTCACCCATCAAGACACAGCTCA